ACGACTTCAGAATAAGGATACCCAGGTGTTGCACATCCGTCGTCTTCACCTACTGGGAAGATTGTTCCATTCATCGACTCGATACCCGATTTATATCTTCTTTATTTGTACACCTCAATCATATCTCTCATTCTACGTCTTTGTATGAACGATTTCTTAAATAATGGATTAATCTGACTAAAGTTATATCCATTCTGTATTATGGAGACCAGAACTGAGCTGCATAATCTAGGTGAGGCCTTACTAATGATGTTCAAAGCTGTAGTAATAGAAGTCCAGAGGTTTTACTACCTATGGATTCCTGTTATACTTCTTGATATAAAGCCAAGTAATCTGTAAGCCTTATTATGGTCTCTCCGGCACGGATGTCGTCTTGGCTTCAGATTACCGCTTACGATAACTTCCAAGTCTTTTTCACATGCCGTATGGTCAAAGTTTTATATTTAGCTTTTAAGTACTAGAATTATTTACATTAACTACCTTTAGGACTTTGCATTTATGAACGTTGAAATGCATCTACCACTATTCTCACCACGACATTAGCTTGTCCGTATCCCCCTGAAGCTTAAGGTATCATCTTCTGATTCTATTATTCAGCATATTTTTGTATCACTATTTATTCCCTCGTCAAGGTCATTTATGTTAATCTTGAACAGCAAAAGGCCAAACACTGAATCTTGTGGAATGCCACTTGTAACTGGTCTCCATCCTGGTTTTGTCCCATTAATGCAAAGTCATTGCTGCCTATTGATCAGCCATGCTTCTATCAAGGAGAGAATATTTTTCCCTCTATGCCATGTGCTGCCACATTAAAAAAAAATCTTTTGAGGGTATTTTATCTAAACGCTTTACTGAAATCCAAATAAACAACACTGTATTCTTTACCATAATAATCTGCCTCAAAAAGATTTACCGAAGAAGGTCAGCAAATGTGTCAGGCATTAAAGATTCCTTGTGTATCTGTGTTGAGATTCATTAATCAAATTGTGCACATTAAGGTGGATTATTATGTCAATTATTTTTTATTAATAATTTGCTTACTACCGATGTTAGGTTTATGGGGCAGTAATCCGATGGTACTGGCTTATCCTCTGATTTAAAGACAAGAATTTTATTAGCCATCTTCCACATATCCGGCAAAACACCTGTCTGGAATGATATCTTAAAAAGGTCAAGTAGTATTTCACTAGTCCATTTTGCATTCTTTAAGAACAAATGAAAACGGTTCATCGTGATCTGGAAACTTTGCTTTAAACAGTCAGCCTGTTAAAATTAATAACCATATCCCTGGTGACTGTGTTATTACATAATTTGTTTCCCTCAGGTACACTATAATAATTAACTAATGGGATATTATTCGTGTGTTCTTGTGTGAAGACCGAAAGGAAACAGCTGTTAAAAACTGAGAAAATATCGTTACCACTGACAGTAAGTTGTCAAGGTCATCAATGTAAATTATGAACAATGGACCTGCAACTAATCCTTGCGGAACGGTACTTGTGACTGGCACTGTCCTGACCAACCAGACTATTCAGGAACAGAATATGCTGTACTACGAAGAAACTGAAAGGCTGATTTTTAGATTCCATTGCAATCTTAATTTAATATTTTCTTTTAGCTTTCCTTACCACATTTTGACCTTTATTAAGTCGAACATTTTGTTACATAAGCTGCCTGACTCCTCTTTTGATAATGAATAAATAGGCACAATAACTACTACTGCTACTATTACTTCATAACTATTATTTATGCACTATTTCCTTCTCTTGCTCCACTATTCCTGGCCTCTCCCCCATCTCGTTATATATACAGAATCCCTTTCGCATTTTTATGCGACTAGTTAATGGTCTAAACTAGACCGAAATGTCGTCAAAAGTTTCAATATCCTATGTGCGGGGTTATTTGGTGTCTTCTTTTGATAAACCTATAAAAGTCTTTCTTCTTGTCCAAGAGTAGTTATCTTCTGTTTATCCATTTAAAGTCATTTTGGCTAGTTTCACTGTATCTTGCCAAAATGTCTATCTTTTATTACTGTTTGACAGGTCTCCTTAGCGATAATCTCGAGTCAGTCTGCCCCACTAGCTAGTAGGTGGTGTCTCTTGCTCCACTGTAGACGGCTGAGCGAATATTTGAATCTCTAGCTGTGTTATCGTTATCAATAATAATCATAATAATAATAATAATAATAATGATAATAATAATAATAATAATAATAATAATAATAATAATAATAAATGATAATAATAAAATATAACTAATTTATTTGTGATCGCATTTATCCGAACTTATCAGTAATCTTAAAATTATTCTTCAGGGTTTCCTTATTTGTTAGAACCCCGTTAAGATGTATATTACCTCTAGAGGAAACCTTCAGTAACTTTTCGTTCTGCCTTGAAACATTATGAGGTGGTGGAGTGGTATAAAAAAAAACGACACGAAGGATGAAGTCATTAATACAGTATAATGCGATCATTTACTGACAACGTTTCGCTCACACAGTGGGCTTTATCAAGTCACAGTTCTGCTTGTGGCTTAAGCCCACTGTCTGTATACGTTGTTGATAAAGGCTCACAATATTCTGCGTTTGTATCCTTATTCCACATTATCAAGGTGCGACTGATAATGGTCCAGGACGGACCAAAATGTCGTCTGAGGTTTCCTCCACACATTGTTTTTATTTGTGAATTATACCCGCGATACTCCCACTTAGTCTTCCTCTAGTTTGTTCTTGTTACAAACTATTTAAAAATGCATCATCGATCTCTAGGAAGTCGTAAGATTATAGTCAGAGTAAACAGTACTCCGAGTCCCTTTGACTATTTCTGTTTAGAAAATTTTGAACGTTTGTGTGTGCAATTTCAAAGGCAGGTCCGACTCTTCAAATTGAGCTAGGTCTGGGCTACTGTAATAATATCCACATTTCCTACACGTGCAATTAAATCGCCTATGTAAATTTTTGTGTTGCATATACTTGTTTTGTGACGCTTAGGAAATGTTTGTCTTCTCTTTCCCTTTTTTAAGCAATTTTATTTGCATTGTTAGTATTTACCTAACAAAGTACCTGGTCATTTTCTGAGAAATTAAATATTTAATGCAGATAATTCTTAATTTTGTTGTTAAAAGTACCACAATTTTTTTTCTCGCTCGCACTCATACCTCTAACTTCCATCAATTTAAAGTCTTATTTATAAAATAAAACAAAGACCATCATCTGCTGAAATGGAACAAGCAACCAACTTTGTCAAAGAAATATCCACTCTGTTCCTCGCATACATGTCATATTTACCTGAGAAATTATCTCAGTTGTCAGTGAAGGGAACTGATGTTGCCGTGCAAGTTTTACTACCTAGTCTAGATTATTCATTGTCCACTTCTCGTCTTGGCAAAACGATATATATATGACTGGAATCTTTCCCTTTGACAGAAAAATGCACAACTGCACTGAGCTTGGTAAGCAGCGCCTCATTCCCACACTTTCGAGCACTATTGCCTGTAGCATTGAGGCAGATAATGGGGTTGATCGCATCACTTGTCATTATTTCTAACCTGTCAAGTATGGCCTCCATCCCAGCACCAGGGAAATACACTGTCTCCTCGTCCTATTTTTATTCTAAAATGCTTCGTTCAGATATCTAACTTATATTAATACTCTAACAATGTTAATATTTTTACCATCATGAGCTGTATTTTTTGACCGATCTCTCTCCTTATCAAAAACAGAACTAAATTAACCCTATAGCAAAGTGAAGCTATTTGTGTTCTCTACATTTGCTTTTCAAAACTGTTCATCGTTAATTTCGTCCCCTTTCATTCCATTACTTTCCACTCACTACTATATAAAAATTTTTAGTTAATGATAAGCTAAAACTCTTTCTTTGCAGTTTTCAGTTCTGTTTTAAACCAAGACCGCCTCTCAAGGCACTCAGGGAATGCCATGCATGCAAGCAATAACACTCCACATACATTCCTCACAGGACAGGTCTCACGACATTCTCTCTTCACCAGACACCCCACAGCTTACCCTGATACAGTGACCCACAATACAACACACCACAACACAATGCAACACTGGGTGCCACTAGATCATGCTCTCGCAGGGACCATGTAGAATAACTTGTGTTGTGCAAACAAGACATCATGGGACTATAGCCTGAGTTCACCAAGTGACAACCCTTCACTGCACCTGCACCACGATGACATACAACCTCTGAAAAAGAGTTTTCTTTTACAGAATCCATCGGACGTGAGAGGTCACACTGTTGCCATAAGTCACGTTACTTACACAACACCTGGTCATACTCGGACTTAATAGTAAAGGTTAAATCACATGCCCTTCACGCCCTTCAATGTAAACGGAGATTTTACAATTTCGTGAAAGTAATGAATTGTTACGCTAAACTTTTACAATCAGTATAATGTGAAATTCCATTTTGCAACTTTAATGTTCTTAACACAATTAAATTTAATAAATCACAAAAGACAGCAATATACTACCACACAACACTACAAAACAAACACACCAACATGCAACATAGAACTATGTAATACAATTTAGTCAAATACCGTATATCATATTGGAATACAGCCCAACACTTACCTAAAAAAATAACACAGTACAACGCAGTACGACACACTGCGCTTCAATACACTACAAAATATAGTACAATACAATACATTACCCCTAGATCAAAATACATTATAATAAAACACACTATGCAAAAGGAATTAGCGAGTAACCCTCATCAAACCTCTGAGTGTCTAGTTTGACTGATTCCTCAGAACTTGAGAGAAACGAAAGTTAAAAATACTCCGATTAGATCTGGTATTAAGAGTTTATTTTCCTCTTCAATGAAGCGAAAAGTAACCTAAATGTAGCGGAAATTCATTATCTTGACCAGTTATCGTATTAGGTATTGGCTTTCCGTACCTCTTGAACCTGTCCAAATCTATGTAATAGCCTAGCAAAATATGCTACTGGTTTATTTACATTACACACTCACCTGCTCTTAGGTGAACATTGCTGTTGTTTTCCTGTCTGCAGCATCCATTTATCAGCGAGGAATATGTTCTCAGAGGTGATACGCGTAGCACTGCTGGAGCCGCTGTTGTCAACGGTAATCCAGATACTGTAATATAGGTGCGGTAATCTAGGTGCCGCTGACGCTAGTGATGATCCAGGTATTACAGGAGGTGGTGATGGTGAGATATCACTGGAGGTGTCACTGATCCCAGGTGTAATCCAGTTATCACTGGAGGTGCCGCTAATATTAGAGATGATTTATGTATCACAGGAGTTGCCAAAGGAGATCTAATTATCACTGAAGGTGCCAATGATAGCTCATCTCTTTCCAGACAAGCACATCGAGATCGCCTTCAAATTCTATCTTGGATTTATTGGAGACCTAATATGTCTTGCAATTTGTACCTTTTTTTCAAATAGTTATTGAAAATATAAGGTAGTACGTGAGAACAGAATACGCGCGAGATGAATCTTAATTGTCAAGCAAATAGGTCTTGAACCATTGTTTGTTAACCCACAAAGACACAACTACCAATAAGTCTTAAAATCCCATACTTTCACTGCCATAATAACATAGCGACTATGATGAACTTCCTGTATTTAAGATGGGTTGCATGTGCTTTCCTGTATGCACTACCACTGAAGATACATGTGTGAGCTTAGTGTACCAGTCCACAGGCCTGGGGACACGCACCCATCTCTGCCTTCCTTGTTAGAGGATTTCCAACTGAATAGCTTCGCAGATACAACGTCAATGAAGCAGAACGGGAAGTGTGTGAGAGTGGTTCATCGTAGAGTGGGAGGGAGGATGGCAAGGTTAGTTGTGCTGCGGGCAAGGCGTGTGTCCACTCAGGACAAGACGGAGCGGATTGACTCCACACAGCTACGTACGCTGCGGATGGCGGCCAAGGACTGACTTCCAGCCAGTGAGCTGCCTCCCATGATGTTAGTGGCGCTGCCTCGCTTGTTGATAGTGGTGGTCGTGCAGCTGCTGCTGCATCCGATGATGTTGGAAGTGCCCTAGGCCTATTGTATATGCGTGCGTGTATATATGTATGTGCGTGCGTATGTGTGTGTGTACTCACCTATTTATGGTTGCAGGGGTCGATACATAGCTCCTGGCCCCACCTCTTCAGTGATCGCTACTAGGTCCTCTCTCTCCGTGCTCCATGAACTTTATCATACCTTGTCTTAAAACTATGTATGGTTCCTGCCTCCACTACGTCACTTGCCAGACTGTTCCACTTCCTGACAACTTTATGACTGAAGACACACTTCCTAACATCTCTTTGACTCATCTGAGTTTTCAATGTACAATGGTGACCTCTTGTTTCTGTGTCCCTTCTCTGGAACATCCTGTCTCTGTCCACCTCGTCAATTCCTCGCAGTATTTTGAATGTCGTTATCATGTCTCCCCTAACCCTCCTGTCCTCAGTGTCGTCAGGCCGATGTCTCTTAACCTTTCTTCGTAGGACATTCCCCTTAGCTCTGGAACTGGCCTTGTTGCAAACCTTTGCACATTCTCAAATTTCTTGACGTGCTTGACCAGGTGTGGGTTCCAAACTGGTGCTGCATACTCCAGTATGGGCCTGACGTACACGGTGTGCAGTGTCTTGAACGATTCCTTACTGAGGTATCGGAATGCTATTCTTAGGCTTGCCAGGAGCCTATATGTTGCAGCAGTTATCTGGTTGATGTGTGCCTCACATGTGCTTGGTATTATACTCACCCTAAGATCCTTTTCGTTGAGTGAGGTTTGCAGTCTTTGGCTATCTAGCCTATACTCTGTCTGCGGTCTTCTTTGCCCTTCCCCGATCTTCATGACTTTGCATTTGCCGGGGTTAAATTCGAGGAGTCAGTTGCTGGACCAAGCTTCAAGCCTGTCCACGTCTCTTTGTAGTCCTGCCTGATCCTCATCCGATTTAATTCTCCTCATTAACTTCACATCATCTGCATACAAAAATAAGCACTGGTCATAGGATTGACCCCTGTGGAACCCCGCTTGTCACAGGCGCCCACTCTGATACCTCGTCACGTACCATGACTCGTTGTTGCCTCCCTGTCAGGTATTCTCTGATCCATTGCAGTGCTCTTCCTGTTATATGTGCCTGATCCTCTAGCTTTTGCACTAATCTCTTGTGAGGAACTGTGTCGAAGGCCTTCTTGCAGTCCAAGAAAATGCAATCTACCCACTCCTCTCTCTCGTCTTACTTCCGTTACCTTGTCATGAAACTCCCTTAGCTTTGTGACACAGGATTTGCCTTCCATGAATCAATGCTGGTTGTCGTTTATAAGCTTGTTCCGTTCTAGGTGCTCCACCACTCTCCTCCTGATAATCTTCTCCATGACTTTGCATACTGTACACGTCAGTGACACCGGTCTGTGTGTGCTCAGCTACTTGAGGTTGCAGGGGTCGAGTCCAAGCTCCTGGCCCCGCTTCTTTACTGGTTGCTACTGGTCTTCTGTGTGTGTGTGTGTGTGTGTGTGTGTGTGTGTGTGTGTGTGGGTGTGTGTGTGTGTGTGTGTGTGTGTACTCACCTAGTTGTACTCACCTAGTTAAGGTTGCAGGGGTCGAGTCCTGTCAGCATAGTTGCTGATCCCCCTTACATGTGTTGTATAGCTTAGTTGAGTATCATAGTGCCATCCATATGTTTTATATAGAGGATCCCTTACTAGGCCTAGTGACTGTATGACTTCACGGGATGCGGCATGAGTGAGTGGGATGCGCTACCTCGCCCTCAGTCCACGCAGAGACCTACCAGGCACCTACAGGCAGGCTGGGCCCTTCCCTTACCACAGTCTGACAATATATAGTGTTACCATCCAACAAGTGTGTATATCTTCAACCATCATATCTCCTTTCGAACCCCCACGACAGTCCTAGCTCCTGGCCCCGCTTCTTCACTGGTCGCTACTGGTCTTCTGTGTGTGTGTGTGTATGTGTGTGTGTGTGTGTGTGTGTGTGTGTGTGTGTGTGTGTGTGTGTGTGTGTGTGTGTGTGTGTGTGTGTGTGTTTAGAAATTAATAATGAGTGAAAATAAGAAATTCTTATGAACTGAACGAGATTGGAACCCACAGCTTAGCAGCTCTGAGATGACCAACGCGTCGTGCTGGCTGCCTTGCTACAGAGGGTCATAAGAATTCTCTAACCTGAAACAGTTGCTTATTGAAAAGGTTAGTGAAAGTCACAGTTGCAACCCAGAGATGCGTTTTTTCAAGAACCTGCGACCCGGAAAGCGGCTACTAGGCAGCTCTAGCTTTTATGCCCTCCAAATCAATATCAGTGTAATGAGGAAGTCACAATTAGTGATTGTAAACATTTGATTTTGGCGGAACTATGGCACCCATGAATTTACACACGGCTTGATAAGCAAAACAGTCGTTGCTTTACAAGTCATGATCACAGGCACTGCCAAAAAAGGCCCAGCATGTACATGTCTTCCTAGTGTGTGTTCGTCCCAGCAACGGCATCAAATTAAGTCAATGAGACTAGTTAAGTCAGTACATAGATGGTGGCCGCCAAAACACTACAGTATTTACTAGACTAATTTCCTCGCTTCGTCAACTTGCCCACTCTTAATAATAATAGTAAGGTCAAATGTGTACCTTTCAGCGTGTATACCGAGAGAATTTACCTTACTAGCTAGCGGTATACAGGTGAAAAACCAACCAACCAACAAGTACAGGAGCCAGGCAGTGCTGAGAGGTCACTGATCTGAAGTTACTACCACAAACTGAGTGAAGAAGAAAGTATACATCCATTATTTGATTATATATTTGGGATCTAGTCGGGTTTGACTCCTTTCTGGCTAGACTATGTTATTTGGCGATTATTTATTGAGGGGATCCGGGAATCATGATTCCCGTGGTCTTTCTCAGATCAGACCTCACACTGACGATCTGAAGGCACATGTCGACAAGACATGCCATTTGTTTTTTGTTTTTTGTTTTTTTGGCGTTTTGTGAGCTGGATTGAACCAGGAGGCCTGGTCACAGACCGGGCAGCGGGGGCGTTGACCCCCGGAACTCTCTCCAGGTAAACTCCAGGTAAACAGTGCCCACAAAACTATCTGTGGAGGGTGTGCAAGGTCTTCTTAATATTGAAAGTAAATGAGTCTTTCGGCCTAGTTTACTTCCTTCATGCTTCTCCTCTTCTTTCTCTTCACCACCCCCTTCCTCCTCCTTCGCTTCTCCTCCTCTTCTCTTCCTGTTGGTCACTTCTTGCTGGTCACTTCCTGTTGGTCCTCTCCACGCCGTGTTGAAATTCAGTCACATTTTGCTTAAGAAAGTGTTAATAATTTCTGTATTGGGAAAACAATCATGACAAGTGTGTGCGTCTACTCAACCACATCTTCTTGTCAGTAACTATTTGTTTACTGAGTGTAAGGCGGTTCAGCGTACATACGCCTGGTATTTTCCTGGGTTTACCCTGCACTCTTCCAGGAAAATTAACCAGGAAAGATTATTTTAGTGGAATACGCTTGCAGCAGTACTTGTTTATTTGTTTGTTAACATTATATATATATATATATATATATATATATATATATATATATATATATATATATATATATATATATATATATATATATATATATATATATAAACAAACACTGATCTCTGGCAGAAGGAGACTCGAACCTACGAACCTTAGGACAAGGTACACAGTGCTTTACCAATCTACCCACACTGTGTGTGTGTGTGTGTGCGTGTGTGTGTGTGTGTGTGTGTGTGTACTCATCTATTTGTGGTTGCAGGGGTCGATTTATAGCTCCTGGCCCCGCCTCTTCATTGATTGCTACTGGGTCCTCTCTCTCCTTGCTCCTTGAGCTTTATCAAACCACGTCTTAAAACTATGTATGGTTCCTACCTCCACTACGTCACTTTCTAGACTATTGCACTTCCTGACAACTCTGTGACTGATAGGAGTCTTCAACTTCGAATTGTGGCCCCTTGTTTTTGTGTCCCATCTCTGGAACATCCTGTCTTTGTCCACCTTGTCAATTCCTCGCAGTATTTTATATGTCGTTATCAGGTCTCCCCTAACACTCCTGTTCTCCAGTGTAGTCAAGCCGATTTCCCTTAACCTCTCCTTGTAGGACATATCCCTTAGTTCCGGGACTAGTCTTCTTGCAAACCTTTGCACTTTCTCTAATTTCTGTAGGTGCTTGGCTAGGTGTTGGTTCCAAACTGGTGCTGTATACTCCTACACGGTTCCTTATTGAGATGTCGGAACTCTAGTCATAGGTTTACTAGCCACCCATGCTGCAGTAGTTATTGGTTAATGTGCACCTCAGGAGATGTGCCCGGTGCTATACTCACCTCAAAATCTTTTTTCTTGAGCGAGGTTTGTAGTCTCTGGCCCCCTAGAGTGTGCTCCGTCTGCGGTCTTCTTTGCCCTTCCCCAAACTTCATGACTTTGCACTTAGTAGGGCTGAACTCCAGGAGCCTGTTTCTGGACCAGGCCTGCAGCCTGTCCAGATCCTTTTGTATGTGTGTGTGTGTGTGTGTGTGTGAGTAACCCTCTCAGTCATGAGGTAGAGTGTTAATACTGATACTGCTATTCACACATACAATATATATATATATATATATATATATATATATATATATATATATATATATATATATATATATATATATATATATATATATATATATATATAATTGTTGTCCTTTCAAAGCCTATGTCAGTATACTCGGTTAGGTCGTAATGAACGACTGTCACTAAATTCCAGTGTCATGGCGTGAGCCTGCACTCCACCACGAGGCTCTGTTGGTTGCAGTAAGAAAGTGACAGCCTGTGTTGCTCAGCTGATGTTGCAGACACTGGCGCCTGCAGAAGTGACTTCAGTAAGACAGTTTGTCACTTAACAAGAAGTCACGTTATTGTAAACATGTCGTGGTGACAGTGTTGCAGCACAGTGTAATA